TAACAATACTTGTTGCTTCGGGAAATAAAGCTTAAAGCGAACGGCTGCGTCAAGTGAGTATCTGAGAATGGTGAAAAATATATCTGTCCTTCATCGCTAGCACAGTTCAAACGCCAAATACTTAAGTTGCTGATGAAGGGAACTGGTCCTAACGTTTCCTGAGACTGATTATTTAACTAATTTATCTTTGTATTGCGTATTGGTTGTTTGTACAAATGTTCGATGTTTACATTGCGTTTTGTTTTCTTTCTCACGTTTGCCTTCCGCAGGCGTAATAAACTTATAACCTTCGTAAATCTATCGATCTCATCACCTTGTAACCTTTGACTTGAAGATCAGCAGGGGTTAGCACAATTATCATGGTGTCTTCGACGAAAATTAAGGTCGCCTTGCGCCTTGGTGTTAAAACATCATAATATCACACCAATCAATCAAAACCTTTACTGGTTGCACCTAAAAAAGATGGCATGTTTGAACGTCAAAATCACCACGCTCGCTTTGCAAGCAGCCACATAACTGCATTTTGATAAGAGCGCAAATTGTGCCGCGCTCCATGCTAGTAGTGCGACGCGCCATGCGCTGGCAACGAACGAGGCTCTCTGAAACCTTCCGTTCCGTTCTTTGGAGACCAAATTCAGTTGAGTTCGGGGTATATCTTCTTTCCCTCACCGTAGGCGTTATGCATACGTCCCATGGTCCCAACAACTCACGAAATATCATAGATCACAGGATTGGACGCCGTTTTCATTCTCACATCTTACCCTTCAGCTCTTTATTGTGTTGGTATAGTATCCCGGTCTCTTTTCAAAATGATTCGCTTACATGTGAAAGGATCCTGAGAATCTAATGCTCTTACTCCTTTTGTTCCATCTATGTTAACGAAACTACTTAATGGTTTATTGAGAATATTCCCAGTCGTAATCTAATTTAGATGGGTTTTGAGGCTATTAACTTAGACCATCATAATTCATCGCGATTGTATTTGTCTAATGTAAACGAGATAAAAGAAAATGGCATCCCTTTATTTTCCTTGCGCTTCCTAGCCTTGAGTGGAGAAAAGTCATCAATATTTTAGTGAAGTTTTCATATACTCAAGTTCACGGAAATCGTACACCTAACACGCCATAGGGTGAAGGGGATTTGTCTGTTGTGTTGATCGGTGCATGTTGAAATAAATACAATTTTCAGTCAAAAGTCTAATTCCTAAAGAATTTACTGTTTCAGAGAGCAGATTGGTCTAATGATGCTTTAAACACCGATGGTACTCGCATGGTAAGTTTTCGTATTCTGCGAGGCGGTTGAAGTTTCCTGGCAGCTCGATGTCAAACCAAAGTGACATCGAGCTGCCAGGAAAACTAAATCAAAATGTGTTTTTTACACAGATGCGGGACCTTGCTTGCCTAAAGTTTTTTCGGTTGGCCGTAACTATGTTGGGGTGATAATTCCTGTGTTCAAAAATGTTGTTTAATGAAATGTGTTGTCTGTGAACTTCTGCGGCCATTCCATTTCATTCCCTCGTAAGGTCATTGTAGGAACCTGACACCTTTACCGAGTCTTTATTCTTTGTCGGAAGATGTTTTGCGGCGGGGTACGAAGTAGCATTCGCATCAAAATTAGGACGCAGCGCATGGCAGACTAAACCTGACTCTCCACCTTTGATCCGTTAAAAGTAGCTCGAAGGTAGCTCCACATGGAGTCATAGTCAAGACTTGACGACTTTATATTCGTTGGGAGATCGTCCACTTTGTGATTTTTGAAATTTGTTTGTAGGTATCCCAGTCGCAGCTTTCCTGTTCTACTTTTACAGCTATTACGGTTGCCTGCTATATAGGAGAGCTCAGCTGCAAGTAAAGGTTCAGAGGTAAGTTTACAACGTGGCATGTTATTGTCAGGTTACAGTTGAAGAAATGTCCAGCAGTATTTCCAAAACTCTCAATTTAGGCTGCTGTTGACCAATGTTAACGAAATAACAAAAGGTGGATATTCTTACGTTGGAGTGAGTATCGTTTATTGCCTTGTGTTTAAATGTTGTTTATTATTCATGATGGAAATTAGTGAAAATGCAGTTGAGCAGCCAAGCGTTTTCGCGCTCTTATCTGCGTTCTTTGGCGACTGTCGCTGATTCGAGGCTTAAATGCTGTCAATAATATGTTTAATTTTAGCGGATTCCTTGGACTCAGCATTAATGTTTGAATTGAGTTTAGGATTCCTATTCAGAGGATTCAACGCCTGGTAAGTGCTATATCCGTTCGATGGCTTTCGAGGTTGCTCTCATTTCTAGCAACTGCTGTGAATTCATGCTGCAAACTGCAATGCAACACTTCTCCTCTGATTGTACAGTAATACAGCGTTTTTGCTTTCAAAACCAAAATACAGTGCTGAGAAGCCGTTTTTTTTTAACCCAATAGTTCTGGTAAATGTGCTTTACATGTTTGTAATATCATCATTCAGATCGCCGGGCTTTCTTCCCTATCGTGTTAGTGTTGGCATGCCGCCTCCATACCTTCCAAATTAGGACACTTTGGTACAGGAGATTAGGAATTATGAATCACGGCCAAACACATAAAACCCGACCCGCTTAGGCTTAATGCTCAAGGGAATATCAGTTAGCCTCCTAAAATTTGGATAATTTCGAAGGCGTAACATGCGAGATAGCATCTTGTTCCAACTTTCTATCTTTGAATCTTCTATACCCTCCCCGATCCTCCTCTTTCTCCTTCAATCAACTTCTATATAAACTGCTCTCCAGTAAAAAATAGAATCAAATTGCTCTTCCAATGGTCACAATATTTCTACTGAGTACTGGTTCATTTTTCAGCAAATTCGTGACCTACCTTTGTCTTCTTTTCTTCGTCCTTCTTCTTTCACTGAAGTTAGACGAGAAGATCAAAGTGGGATATGCTATCATATTCCTCCCAATATGGATCTACAATATTCTTATCTTTGCCGGTGCTCTAGTTGGAGTGGTGTCGTTTTTGTCCAGGCCACCATCACAGTAGGTTTATTCATTGCCTTTTTTGTCATGTATATTTTTGAACCTGATATGATCATCGGTACATTACCTTCCGGCTTGTTCCATACAGGAACCCCATAGTGGGCAGGGTGGGCAGTGTAACAGGGGATCAAGGTGGGAAAAGTTCCTCTTTCATAAGGCGCGAAAAAAGGCGGTTCTTATAGTGCTGTTCTGGGGGAATAATAGGTTGCTCTTATCCCAGTGCATTGCAAGAGAAAGAGGTAGGTAGTATCACGAGGCGATAAAACACATTTCAGTTTTTGTTAGCTATTAGCTTAGTTGTTTCACGTAAATAAAAATTTTCCAGAAATGATGTGGTTTTACGTGTGGATTTTACTGCAATGCAATTAACAACAATAGAACATTCATTTTTGTTTATTTTCGCTCTGCTTACCTATTGCAAGGTTCGCCTCTCTTACAGTTTTGAATAATGTCATAATCATCTAACAATCGTGTTGGTGTTGTTTTTTATCTCTGATATTGATTTTTCAGCTGGAATTGTCAGTGTTCTTTCGGAACAATCTCGAACTCCACTGGATAATTGTATTTTCTCCATTATTCGCTCTATCTATTGCATCAATTGGGGTCGTAGTGTGGGCGATGCGAAGAGACAAATCATTTGAGGTAATGAATTCGTTTTTCTGGAGCTTTTCTCATGGGAACGTTTTTCAGTTAGAATTATTCTTTGCGATCAATATTGTACAACTTTTCTTCCTCGCTTTCAAACTCGATGATTTGGTGAGAGTTTTCAATCTAGCTGTTTCGCTATTGAATAACTACTTTGAAATCTTTTCAGGTGAATTGGTCATGGGCCGTAGTCTTTATTCCACTGTGGGTGGTGTTATCATTGTCAGCAGTTGGAGTACTATATGCTCTCGTTCTCTCTATTGTATTGGCCAGATCACGTCATTTGATTCCTTCGCACAGGAGGCAGCATGTCACTTCTGCTCTCTTCCATGCCTGCCTCGTAGTACCTGCTCTCATTTGCATGGTACTACTGACTGGAAAACTGGACGCGACAGAATGGGGTGACAACGATCCTGCGGCTGATATGCCTTACACAGTTGGTTGACACTATCTTTTTCAAGATTTGGAGACTCTCTCCTCCAGAAAGATTATCGAAATTTCCATTCTTCAGTGGTGCTTAGAAAGTCGTAATCCCAGTAATATCTAATTGTTATTACGCATTGTTGCAACCCTACGTGTGTGCTGTCTTTAGTCACCACTAATTCGGAGGTTTTGCGAAAGTTTTCTTGTTATGGATTGCGTTATTTTCGCGCTACTTTTGATACTTCCACTAAAATTGCTCCTTAACCTGTAGACGTACCTACAAGTCGACTGGCTAATGCGCATTATTTTTGCCTCATAGCTCTTTTCTAGACCCGGATTTTGTGGAAATCTCGACCGAAATAAGTAGAGAATGGTGAGATTTCAGTCCAAAATTTCAATTTTGTCAGTTTTACCTTGTTCCCCTTTCATTTTCAGTTTGATGCTTATGACATTGTTATATGTATTATAGGTCGTGTTCTCTCCTCTTCTTGTTTCCCTACTTTGTCTGGTACTCATGTCATGTGTCCAGGGGGGAGGCAACGTTTGGTGGTTTGGACTTCGCCAACCATTCTGCACCGCTCTCCTTGAAGCGTGCCCCTGTTTGAAACAGTATGCCAACGTGAGTTTTTAATGTTTAGGTTCTATGTGACTTCATCCTTTCTGCCGTATTTTCTTTGAAAAAAAGCCCTTTGAATTTTTTATACTATTATTGTAGAACGGTAGTATAGAACGCCTATGTTTTCATGTTTTCAACGTGCCAACCCTGTTTAAACACTGGTTAATTTTGTTCCTAATTGCCAAGTTCTTGTGTAGCAAGACGTCCGTTAGCAACTGTTGACATATAAAAAGATTATCTTGCGTTTAAGAATAGTTTGTCAAATTATGTCACCTGAAAGCGTTTTCACAGGGAAGAGACACTAGATGCAGCGGCCAGTCAATGAGATGTTTATTGCTAAATGTGTATTCCAATGCTGTTCTCAAATCTACATCCCAAATCACCAACATAGGAATGATTTTACCGAAACGGCGAAGCTCCGCCTTCTGGGAGCGGGGTCCCATGAGCTCATGCGGGCTCTGTTGATCTCGTCTAGGGTCCCAGTCATCCAAAAATAAAACCCTCGAAGTGCGATGTTTGATATCTGCACATTCATAAGGAATGCTTCCCTATATACTTTGCCTTTCCGACGGTACTAATCAACAGGTAAAGACTTTATCCTTCAATCGGTAAATTCTGTATTTTGTTTTGTATCGCACGAGCAATTCGTCTGAGAGGACAAAAACATTGCATTATACACCGGCTGACCATCATCATTCGTTTCACTAATTCAGTACACTCTTCTCACGTCGACGATACTTGACTTTTAGAATTGCAAAATCGTGGTAGTGTAGTCTTAAAAATCTCTATGTATCTTCTAAGGCAGAGGTGGAGTAGCGGCATGTTGCGCACTATCGCACGCGTATGTTCACGGGTTGAAACCCCGGGTCGATAACCTCTTAGGCCAACCAAACCATCATTGCTCCGAGGTCGGTCAGCTGGTACCAAGCTCGTCTGGAAGGAAGAAAGTACTCACTTGTACATTGGCTGGTCATCGCAACTCAGTATGTAGGCCGGATTCGATACGCCACTACGATTCTGTGGGAGTCGAGTGTGTGAGCGCTCCCCCAGAAGGAATTGAACAACTCCCGAGACTCAATCCTTTCATCCTCATTCTCATCCATCATCTTATCTTCTGAAGAATCGCGCTTGCTTGTATAGCTGGCCCTTCGTTTATTCTTTTGCCATTTCAGCCAATCAATGGTAATAAGTTGCATAAGAGTTCATTAATTACGGCAGGTTTACAGTGCGGTAGTCGGCAAGATTGTCTTCATCGCACTTCTTATACACCCTACCAACATCGTCTATGAGCCGAATCAAGGTAGAGGCATGTCGGAAACAGTAACAGTAGTGAAAAACAGAGGACGATAAGATTCAGTCTAACAGAAGTGCACCCTCACTCCTTTGCTTCATGCAGTGAATAGAAGTGGAAGAGGAGCGTGCGCCCTGAAAGTTGGAGAGGGCTAGTGATCTAGGTGGTTACAGCCGTTTTCAGCCAATTTTTGCTGACCCTTTTCAATTTCGAGATTACTGCATTTTTCAGGTGAGCTACAAAGTGGTTCTGCACCGTGATCGTTCTGCTAATGACTCCGGTGGCAGTCACCACGTAGTGTGCCCTTACCGTGAAGAACAGGATCGATATCCAATCAAACCCGCTGTACCTCTATGTAGCCTTGAAATGGTTGACTGACTTGGCTTCTTATCGCTTTACATCATTTGTGCAAAAGACACCGTTTTCGTGTTGGTTTTTTGTGGTAGTGCCTGCCAATCTTCCGATGTTTTTCGGTTTAGAATTTAATACTGTCATTCAGCACTAGAACGGATTTGAGCCAATCAGATGTAAATAGTGTGGGTCAGTATACTTTCCCGATCTCTGCCTTTTTTTGCTGTTCTGAGGTGACTGCTTTCCCACACGTAGCAAGTTACTCTGAATAGGATTGGCTTCGAAATTCTTCATTCAAAATGAGCGTTAATAATTGTGTTATATTTCGCCAATAAATCCAGGTTGAAGTTCAAAAATTAGTATCACTTTTTTTGAATGGCTACTAGGGCCTCTGTGTTATATGTACACAGTTCCTCTTTCTATTGGTTCTCGTCACTTCAGTGTTTGAACAATCGTTGAACATTCTCAACAGCTTGCGATGAGAGGGAAATGGTGTTTGTTGATATCGAATTAATATTGGAAATAGATCACATTAGACGGTACTTTACAGGTGAATGGATTATGCGTAGTTTTTATGACATTCTAGAAGTGAGTGCATCTGCTAGTGCAGAGGAAGTGAAGCGTGCATATTTCGACTACCTGAGAAGAATTCATCCCGATAAATCCACAGGTGTAGAGGAAACTGGAGTTTCTGTAAACTTCGCTACTTTTATCTGGACAATACTCAAGGTATTTTACATGGTGTTTATATTCTCATTAGGTGAAGGACATCTTCTCATCTAGGATAACAATCGGCGTCGTGAATACGATTGTTGGCTTCGAGAACAGCAATATCGGAAAACGAAAGGTGTAGTGGCGGAACGGATTGATATTGCCTACGACGATAGGGATCCGATTGTGGAACCCTGTCGTTGCGGTGATAATTACAGTATTACAGCCGAAGAGGTGTGTAGCGGAGTGGCTGCCAGCCAGTAAGCTCTTCGTCATCGTTACCTGTGATTCTGTTGCTGCATTCCAGATTGAAAAGGTCGTTGACGTTGGTGTCTTCCAGTGCGCTTCCTGCTCACTTTGTCTTGAAGTAGTGAAGGGAGCTGCAGATTCCACTTAGAGCGAACGTAAAATGAAAACACTCTCCTGTTGCATTTCATTCAATTAATTCTTGTTGTCCGTTTCTTTCTGTTTTAAAATGCTTCGCACATGTTATAGGATCTCACCGATGTCATCTACAAAAATCGTTGTGGTGGGCGAAAGTGGTGTCGGAAAAACATCATTTGTTAACGCCTTGTGCGGCAAGTACGTCTGAATTTGTCACCCCCCCCCCCCCCCCCCCCCCACCCCCTTTACCTCCTGAGTCACTACACAATTTCGCGAATTATTTTATAAGCGTATCACACTGTTTGTAGTGTAACCCATAGTACCATTCTCTGTCGTTTATACAATACATTTTGAATAGTATTTCCATATTTCAGTCCCAGCGCCGATTCTTCAAGTACAATAGGCGCTTCAATAGCAATGGTTTGGCATGAGTATAAGGCAGGTTTGTTGTGAGCACGCTAATAGGAAATTCTTTTTTTTTACGATCATTTTTTTGGCAATAATTTCTTAGAATTAGAAAGCTTCCTTTTATGAATGTACGGATGTATTCATAGCATGCACAGGCGCATTCAGTGCCTTCTTATCTAGAGCTTTTTGAGCGATTCAATATTCAGTAGAAAAACAATTCTCATCCGATTCTCCTTCCCGTAGACACAAATCGAGGTGAGAACAACGTCGTCTTTGTTATGCCCTATTATTCAGGTACATCAGAGCAACGATCAGAGTTGATGGAGTTGTGGGATATCGGTGGATCAGGTGCTCACCGTGCCGCCTCGGCGGTCTTTCTTGACGGTGCTGCCGGCGCGATACTTGTGCACGATTTGAGTAATAAGAAAAGTGAAGAGGTAATCCAATGTATCCTTACTATTGTACATTCAGTGCGCAACAAAAGTATGTTAGTTAGTAACTACTTTGGTTTACCGGGCTTTCCAGAGAGTTTTGAGCTGTAAGACTTCTACTATACAAATACTCGGATTCGGAAACCTTGAATATTTGTTCCCATGAAAACTTTAGGAAGCGTTTACCTTTTTTATTCGGGAAGGAAATCATTTTTGTTTTGAAATATGTGGACACAATACAAGCTGCCTGCGTGCAACATGTTTTTCCTGATGCGAATGGTGCAACCTCCACAGCCTCTACAGAGCGTGAGAATCGTCCGTCTTTGGATAAGAATGCCCGCTGTGAGCGCCGGTTTTGGGACCTTTACTACGTCCTATCTCGGTCGTTTATCGAGTGACTGCATCCTCTAAATTTCAAATAACCATTTTTATCGTGGACGGGTAAAGCATATGTCACATATCCTTATGGCTTTCAGTAGATAACAGCTACTTGTAAGTAGATGAGAGGTCCACATTCTCTTTGTAACCCCGGCATCTTGGTGATAACGGTACTATTGTTGCTGTTGTTGCCTTGCCATTTCACTACCGAATAAGACCTTCCATTCCCCCTTTATGCTAATGACTATGATGATCAAGCAGGCAAAAAATTGTTGATGGTAGACGAACTCTCATCTCTGTTGCTTAATCTAGGATTTCTTGAAAATCCAAACTACCCCTAATATTTTCCGGTAAACGAAGCGCAGAAATACGCAGAAATGGCGAAAAATAAGGTTCTCGTAGTTAGTTAAGGTAGGAACAAGAAACAATGGTCAAAAANAAAAATAGCTCTTTATTGTTCAAAAATCATGAGTTTCTATCGGTTGTTGTCCCGTTTGCCCCTCCTAACTGCGCCCATAGATGCTTCCAATGAGCTCAAACATGTAGTTCGACCATCTATTTTGAGTCCGCCGTGCAATTTCAGCCCTCGTGGCACTCGATACCGAACGTGTTGAGTTCATCGTTACATGGTTGGAACGATTGATATGAAAAAGTCCTACGTAATACGGCTTTACGAGATCGCTGAGGTGAATTCCAATTCACTCATTTCTAATCAATCGGTGTGAGGTACCGATGAAGTGATAGATATTTTTGTTTCCTAGGCTTGAGATTTTGAGTGTAAATATTGTCGACCCATGGCAAGATCTACGGATCCGAGAGATCCGAGATGCCATTGTCCTATCAGAAGTTCCCCATTATCCAGCCCAGCCCTTTCAGCCGGGTCTCATCTTTATTCCTTTCCATACTTTAGAGACTAAAGACGAAGGACGATTGCAATAATGTAGCAAATATTGACGAGATATACCACCTATTTGAATCGTTGACTTTAAGTCTTTATATTCCCTCTTCAGTTTTCAGTAAGTAACTCACTAATCATCCTTGGTTGTCTCCAGTAAGAGAAAAAAGAGCGCAGCAGTCTGTGTGTTCGGAGGGACCAAACAATGCGGCAGAAATGCTGATTCGTCCCGCTCGTGGTAACCAAAGGCCGTTTTGTAGTTGCCTTTCTGTGGTAGACGTGACTTTCATGATTTTGGAGGCAATTCCGCCCGCACCGTAGGGTATTGTGTGTTCGTGGTGTAGCGACATTTCTGTACAGTAACAACGGTTGTGCAGCTGTATTAGCTCACCGATTACCTATTTCCTCATGGTCTCTGGATCTGATAACGGTTCACAAAGCGACGGAGGATCGTCTCGGCTGCATCTAAGGGGAGGGCTGGCCAAATACTGAGTGGGCTCGATAGGAAGGGGAACCTGTAAAGACTTTTATCAGGATCAAATCTGAGCTATGAATTCAAAATAGGGTCGTCGAGTTGTCAGGCAGGCTTCGATGGAGTTGCGATGTGGTTGTAAAGAGTTAAACATAGCTGAACGTTCATGGCTTGAGTTTCGAAAGAACCTTTTCGGGCTGTTCTTTCGAAACACCTCAGGATATTTTACATGCAAAGTTTAAACATTGAGGTCTTAGACTGAGAAAAACGGAGTGTTGGGAAAAGGCCACAAATGAAGCTGCCATTATTTTGTGACAGTGTTGTGGCATAATATTTTTTAGAGTTCATATCTCTGTTACAATTGCAGAATCTGTCCCAATGGCTTTCGTTGTTGGATGGTAAACCTCGCCCGGTCGGATCATCAAGTGCGCGGCCGCTTATTGCAGACATTGAATCTTGCCACATTCCAATACTAACAGTTGGTTGCAAGTTGGATCTTGCACCCCATAGAGGTCCTTCTGCCTATGACAGGTTCTTTGTTGGTTAATTCTCTTCTCATCTTATAAGTGCTGAAGACCTTCTCTTCTTGCAGAATGAATATAAACTGCCTACGACCAATTCCACCAGGTTCTACTGCGAGTATGGCGCTAGCTCGGTAAGTCAATTTTTTAGTTCTGCCTTAAGAGTAGATGACAATGAGGTGACATGAAGGGAACCCAGTATCGGTATGTCTCCAAATTTTTCTTTTGAAGCCAGGAAGTCAGCTGAGCCTTCAAATGGTCTTGAAATGCCCCGAATCAATAGTCCTAAAATAAAGTTCGTGGGAAAGGTTCAACAAGGAAAGAAGAGGGCTAAAAAAGTTCGGTGTTCGGCTGGAAAAACAACGATCAAAATGGCCGCAGGCACCGTGCGTATGGCATACCTTGTTTGGAGCCATCTGGCCCCGTCCGATTCGCTCTTTCGGTTTTGGAGAAATAATCATCGAAAGAGTAAAGAACTTCCGATATCTGGGAAACAACCTAGCTGCTGATGGTAGCGTGAACCCGGCTGTAAAAGCCCGAATAAATGCGGCATGGATGAAGCGAGGGAGTCCACTGGTATCGTCCGCGATCGACAGTGCTCCAGACGCTCAAAGGAATGGTATACAGGGTAGTGCTGAGGCCCACGATGATCTACTGCAGCGGGTGCTGGCCCGTAAGTAGAACTTATAGAAGAAAGCTTTACTTCACTGATATGAGGATGCTGAGATGGGTTCGCCGTTGGGCGCGCCTGTACCGGATTAGAAACCAAGATGTTAGAGCGTTCATGCGAACGGCCCCTGTCCTGCTGAAGATGAGAGAGCAGCGTCTACGATGGTACGGACACGTACTGTGACTGAGAAGAACACCGAGTCATCCAATAAGGGAGGCTTTCGAAGTCATTGCAGAATGACAGAAACTTTCTGTACACATTAGTTTCGATACCTTATGCTGTCTAAGCCAGTCTACTATAATAAATTGTGGATACCTAGTCTCCAACTTCTCTCTTGCTTTTTTCAATAAACATCTAGGGATATTTTTTTATTTATTCATTTATTCATCATAAGGAGGGCGGAAGCGGTGTAGTAGCAAGAGGCGCACTATCTCACACGCGTGGTCACGGGTTTGAATCCCGGATCAGTATCCGCCTAGGCAAGTCCTGCCTTCCATCCTTCCGGTGTCGACCAATCGGTAACACTCTCATTTAGGAGGATAAAAACATGATTAGTACATCTGCTAGCCACCGCAAGCCATTGTATAGCCCACATACGCATTCAATACGCCCCTACGATCCTGAATGGGAGTCGAATGCCACGGCGCATCCCTCAGACGGAACTGATTAACGCTCAAAGACGCTAGACTTCTATTTATTAGAGGATCTAGAGCTCAAATGATATGATCGAATTAGTTACGTAAACAAACTAAAGCTATCGAAATAGTACCGTGGTACCAACTGACCAATGGAAAAGAAAAACAGAAAACAGAAGTGAAGAATATTACCTCTTGGTGTTACGCCATCGTTATGCTGACCTGCAGGTGAGTCCTGCACAGGTCCACATGCGGTTTGGAACCAGCGGAACATTTGCCGCTGCCAGTAGGAGTTGCTCATTCGCACAGGAACGCTGTCCAAATTGCCGGCTGTGATGTCTACGCATAGAACCTTATCTTCTTCAAAACAGCATTCACGAAAAGCTGTGACAGTAGAAGGGGTTTTCAACCAAAATAGCGACTCCACTTTTTTTCGAAACGCGGTCAAACTTGATCAGGTCGTACTGTGGCCAACGGCTACCAAGGGAGGACGAAAACTGAACGTCCTCTGTAAGCCTCGTTTCAGTTAAGGTGGCGATGACGAAGCCGTAATGTTTAGTTTGATAGGAAAGTGCACGTCGATTTTTATGAATAGATCGGATATTGAAATAGAAGCACAGCAAACAGCACAGTTACATCAGGTTGATGCGTAATTTTTTTTTTGCGGCTTCTTTTCTCTCGATACAATTTGAATATTTAATTCGATGTTTTCATAGAAACAATCTTCTTGATTTCCTCAACAAAAATGCGCTAGAACATTATCTTCATATTCGTCACCCAATGCTCTACTACTTCGAGAAAGGTTAGAAGGTGGCGGAGCCATTTCGCGATCTCAACACACTTTTCGACGATGGAACAGTTACCCAAAGCCAAGAGAGGGACGGGATCTGCTCCTACATCTGACATAACGACAGGAGTCCCTATATGGATTGTCACGTCAATCGTTTGTTGAAAAGTTGGCCAACGAACAGAACTTACAAAGCAATTGATGACTTGATGGCCGATGTGAGGATCGCCTCTAGGAATCGAAACTTTTTCGAGTGTGAAGTCCGACCGCCTAGCAAATGAGAAGCAGTGCTTGGCGTAGATGGTGGATACGTTCCGGAGCAATGTCTTTAACAGATATTTTTATCGTTTCTTTAAATAAAATTCGTTGAAATAATCCGCAATAATGATGCATCAACCTAATAGTTTACTTATAGGTATTGTGAAAAGTGTGATGAATTGATTTCAGGTTTTTCGACGAGGCCATCGACCGCACAAAGGCTCCTATCAATGAAAGGCGTCGCCGTGTGCAGCAGTTTTGACAGCCGACGCGATCGTTGCTGAATACTGTGATCCTTCTTGTTCGTGATTATTGTAAGCGGGGTTACTCCAGAGCATCTCTTGGATGCTTTGTCATGCTCTTTCATCAGTTCCTCTTGTTTGTTCCCACATTTTTTGAACACTTGTATACAAACAAGATGTTATTCTTGAAAAAACTTGAACATTTGTGGCGCCATTTTCCTTTGATCTTCTTGCACCAGTCGTATCGTTCAGGTAACGCCAGGCTTTCCTCCTTTCCGTGTAACGTTGGCCTTTCGTCCTCTCAAAACCTTTACATATGGCACAGGAGAACAGGTATAGATCCGCGGACAAATACGCCACACATGCACCAAGCGCAATTCGTGGGCTTCGCCCGTCATGAACGGAGTCTTGCTCAACTCATGTGTGCTCAAGTAACTTGGTTCACTCCCTTCTTTCTACTTGGCTACGCAAATTCACTATGATTACGCACCCTCTACCCCCGCCCTATTTACCCACTACTCCTGTGGATGGGATCGAGTAAGTTGCTTTCCAACATTTGCCATCAGTGTCCTAATCTTGCCGCCTGTACCCTGCCGAATTCGAACACCTATGTCATAACCAACGATTTTCGCGTACGCCCCGTCCCGTGTGGGTAGAGTATGGTCCCGCCACCTATAATCGGCAATCTTATAATGCCGCCACTCATACCAGATTTGAACTGTTTAGGTCCACGGGAACAGGAGTTATGAATTTCCACCCCATTTATTTCGCGCAAGCTCCCTCTTATAGGCGGAATCCGGTTTTCCCGCTCACCAGAAGTGTTCTTAACCTGGTGCTTTATTTCTACGGTAGCAGGAATTTTAAATTTTCTGCCACAAAAAACACACTTAGAGCGTGGTGTCTCTATGTATAAAGCGTTGACTTTGTGTGTCTGTATGTATGCCGGTCCGTGCGTCCTTCCGAAAATCACATATGCATCATGGGGATTGTGAAAGTCACGTGAGCCATCACGTGGGCCCATTTTGAAGTGCGTGAGGGTTATGTTACGAAATAGGAAGTCAATTGATACTGTATTGATCTTACTAANACTAAGACGGAGTGCTAGTTGATGTTTTGCCCTCGTTTACGTGCGCAGCCCAACTGGTATAGGTATATAGTAGGTTAATTTTGACATCGATCATGTTTCCGTCACTGACGTTTCTTTATTCCTTTAGGCCCTCCTATAATCTGCAATTTTAGCTCCTTTTGTTGCTGTACTGTTGAGTCATATAAATGGGCAGGCTACTTTTTATGGGTATGTGCTGCAAAACGGAAGGAAGAGGTATATTTCCGTTGCAAGTTCGTGGTTGCTCGCTTTTTCAACAATCATGTTTCAATCAAGCACCGTGGTTTTTGTGGGTGGAAGAACTTTCGCATCCTAAAGGAGACCAACATCTCGAAACTAGCATCTTACCCAGCATACTTCTCCTTTCTTCATGACTAGGAGAATCATTATTCCCTCGGTTCGGGGTGACGGAACATCTTGAAATCCCTCGTTCGCTGGGCAAACGCGGCAATGCGTTTCCAGTTGTCTCGTAACTTCAAACTGTAATTACCCTATTCGGTCTGTCTCCCGCTAATGGAAACTGTCTGTTTTTTCCATTGTCCGCTTAGTGTTTTTTGCTTCAATTTGATTTTTCTTTGCTTTTTATCCTTAGTCTTTCCGTGTTCTCATGTGGAGCGTGTTACTGTAATAAAGGGTTTAAGATTCACCAGGACATCAATACTACGCAACCACCCATCGCAAATCTAACTCAAAAATTGCGCGCTCTAGTCATCGCATTTGTCGTCGTCCAAGTCGACGAGTCCCATCCCTCGTCACTCTCCTTGTCTGAGGCAACGTTCTAAGTTAGGGCGCCCATAAGGGTGCGGGAGTGGAGAGAGACCACCAAAAGCGTAATCCAGTCTACCTCTAACGTCTCAGGCGAGATATAGATGCCATTAAGACTTATGTATCATTAATCTATGTTGTTATGGCGGTAACTCCTCACTACTATTTCATTATCGCACATTTACTTCGTAATCACCGAAGCTATGATAAGCCTCTGAACCGCCCATTTACTGCTTATTTTGCAATCATTCTAATAAAATATCCCCACAGCAGCTGCGGTACGCGGCTGGTGCGGCGCGTGCGACACGCCGTATGCGGAGTGAATGCCCCGCTCCCGTGGCTCAAAACTCAAGCAACACCAATGATCGCAAATTCTGCGACCATCTTGCTCCATCCTCCCTCAACTTATCTTCGATTGGAATTGTGAGAACCTTGCTCTTAATTTTCGAACGTCTCTTTGAAGCTTCCTTTGTGAGCATCTCCCCGGCTATTGTACGGTATTGATTAAATTGAATTGAAAATCAAAGGAATCGTGGCCAAACAATGAGGTCTAGGAGCTCTAATGTTAAAACCACACAAATCCTCCGCTCTAATGTTAAAACCACAGACAATCGTCCTCCCACTCTGAACAGCTACTTCTAGCTCGTAGATTCATCCTAACCCATTTGCGACCGCATCCGGTGTGTGGCATCGCGCCCTTTTTTTCGCTGGCTGCAGCTGTGAACCGCTGACGAGCCACGCGTTCCTAGGAGCAACGTTATTTTTCTCACGTGCCCTTCTCCTGAGATGAAGTTCCATAAGAATTTTATGAAAAAGTGGTAACTCATTCGCAGAATGTACGATACCCGCCGTAAGAACTCGAAAATTCGTGCGCCATTCAGAGCTGCCATTCAAACTGCTCCTCTTTATCGCCACTACAGTGCCACGTCTCCTGCAGACCTTACCACCCACTCGAATAATCTTCATTCGAACCAACCCCCCTTCCCGCCACTTCAGTAACTACTCACCTGCGCATCCATCATCCATCGCATCCCCATCCAAGAAGCCATTGTTCAAAACTGTTTTAGCTCCCGCCAATACGAAACCTGCCGGCCGCGAACCAAAGCCCTTCAAAGCCACCATTCAACTCCGTGCCACTGCAGTACCCGGCCACATGCGTATCCAAACACGTATAGCAGGAAACCGCTCAGCGCCGGTCATGAGGCAGAAAATGGTTTTGAGGGGAGGATCTCAGGGTTGACCCATATATCATTCGATAGCATTTTTCACGGGGAATTCATCATTGTGCAACTTGACTGCGAAAAGATCAATGAAAAATGCAAGAACAATTTTATGATTTGGGCCTGGCGAACTCCGAATGTCAAAAAATCAGCTCAATTATTCTGCGGTAAGATGGTGTCATATTCTCAATGGAACCTGTAAGGAGGAGTGTCAAGCGCAGAGACTGTAGATGCAGTCATCTGCAGCCCCACATTAGAAATGAAAGATGGAGAGTGAAGGAAGTCGATCAATCAATTTCACATTGTATTGAGTATGTGGCGCACCTCAAAGCAGATTCTGAACACTTCTCTATAGTTAGGGACCAATCAGCCACTACCAGCACTAAAGCGTGCACCCTATGTACATGCAATTACTTTTCAAGTGGTACTCAAGTGCATAGTGCAATCCAAGCATTTCAAACACATTAGGGTATCAGTTTATAGAGCTTGACAAGCTGAGTTTAACGGCATCCTCAGCTCCTGGAGTACTCCACTCTAAACCAACCCTCATTATAAACCAGTTGGGCTAAGCACGCTAATGCGCGCACCACATGCCCACTACCGCTTACCTACGACTT